GGTATTTGGGCCTTCACATCTTCCATATTTTTTAATGAATTTTTGAGTATAGCCGTTATTTTTCAGCACCTTTTCGGGATTCGTGAATCAATGTTGTTTTCGCTTTATTCAAATTTATCAAGGGGAATAAATGCATGAAATAACTTTAGGTTTAATTTGTTCCCATTAAAACATACTTATGATAAACACATGTCATCATCGGATGTTATTTCACGCGATTCTGTTTTAAACAAAGAGAGTATCCTGTGATGAGTAGGCTGATATCCGTAATACTGTTAACAAGGTCAAGCAATTGATTAATCAGAAATTTAAACAGATGACCGTGTAATTGACAGTTTTATTATTACAACTTCCTGTAAGTAGGGTCAATTAACAAAATTAGATGTCCGCCTAATTAAAGAAAGCATGATGAAATGATGTAACGATTAAAATTGCACAGACAGGCATCACTATCTATCTCCAAATTAGAAGATTATATATGCTTCAATAAAAATGTATTATTGAATCAAAAAGGATATGACCTTAATTAACGATCAGTCATCTGTCTTACTTAATATTTCTCATATATGTTAAATAAAGTTAGTGAGAAATTTAACCTTTGTGGTCATTTTATAACATTATGTGATCTACCTAATAATTACTTCTCAATAAAATAAACTGAATACTGTCACAATTTATGACTGACTGACTGGTTTCAACATAGAACTTTACACAGAAGGGCAGCAGTTCGAGTTGCCACAGTCGATATAGAACACAAAGCAAGAGAAGAGAAAAGTTCAAAAAAGCGATAACAAACAGAAGTGTAAGGCAATAGTTATGCGGAAGAACAATCAAATTTCATTGGTTATGACAAATCACAAAGATTGAGCCATATCACCAATTTTCGCCAGCCTTTGGTCCTTACTATCTGGAAGACCCAAACCAGGCAGTCAACACCTCCGTACAAGGCTGGCTCAAACCAACTGTTAAAGATTTCATGGACTGATGACGTTTTTTCACATGAGTATTGCAAGTCCTAGCCACCAATCTTAATCGATATAGTTCCACAATCTGACAGGAGGATTTTCCCTCCCCAAGACAGAGCTAAGGGATATCATGCACCAGATAAGTCATCGTTTGAGTGGAGCTTGGATGGGGAACGAAGAGTTGGACGTTAGTCTGAGAGTGACATGTAGGAGATCGTAGAGCGGAGGAGGGTAGTCGTGGAGATAGCTGACAAGAACTGAAGAAAACAGAATTAAATGATGACAGTGGGCTGCCAAAGCCCTATGTTTCATTGGGAATAATAATTTTTAAGTAATGTGTGTGTTTACTCATAGAAATGTACTCAAACACACACACACTACTGAAGCGTTTAGTGGTATTTCGGTGCAAGGATCCTCTGAAATTCAACTTGCGTATGGTTCACTAATTGACAAGATTATATTTTATTACAGTACCACCAGTTCACAAATTTGACAGAGCAAGAAATAAAAGCATTCGTGTCATAATAAGTATTAATATATTACCATCATTGTATTCTTTAGTTCCTAGAGGAACACAGGGCTTCAGCCGAACGTCTCTATTGCGTTCAGTTCTCTGCTTGAGAGTAATAAAAACATGTGTTGCCTTCCCAATCCTTGCTTTGATATTCTCGTCAGTTCCATCCGCCTGTAGTTGAAAGGATGCTTCCCAGGTAGGCAGGTAGGTAGGTGAAGGAGGTTGCTTCTTTCAGATTTCTTCAATTTATCCTGATTGTTATCTGTTGTTGTTTTAGTTGTTAAACTTTCATTTCTTAAGAATCAAATTTTTAGTTTTTAGATATTTTCAGAAGAACTCACTTCAGAAAAGACAATACAGTCTGAAAGATACTTTTAAGACTGATTACTTTTCGTAGCTACACTTCGACAAAGAAATAAACATTTCACTGAGAAAAATAGCTATAAAAGCTGAAAATGATGCTTGGCTTCAGTTTTATTATTATTTTTTCATTCTTGGTCGTTCCTAGAAGAACGCAGGGCTCTTTCAAGCTACAACTTTGAAGTCTTGGTAGCAGCAGTGTTTATGTTTACGGGATGAAGTTGCTGGCCTTATGCCTAACCTTCCGTCTTCACTAGTCTTAATACTGGCTTAGTGAAGTGAGGGAGTTAATCGGTCAAGGATGGAACCCGAAACAAATGAGGCATGGTCTGCGAGCATTCTACTACTGTGCCGCCCATGCACACCACTTGGTCTTAATAAAAGATTTATATAGTAAGAGAGTGGAAACACTAGGCTCACTTAATTATGCTTTAAAAGATCGGAAATATTGGATTAAAGCAACTATTTTTCAGTACAGCTATATCAAGGACTTACGCTAAGCAACTCGCTTCCTCAGAATGTTTAGTTATTCATAGAAACGTAGTCTTTCAATATTCCTTCATTAATTATATAAAGGAAGACAGATGCACTACACAAATCAATCTACAAAAGGATAACCCTGAATAGTGACCACAAACAGACATTTAAAACGTTTCTCTAATCAATGAAGGATCTCCGTATCGCTTCCTGTTGTGGCCACATGGTTTGATGCTTTCAGTGTAGGTTTATCTTCAAACTAATATTAATACCCAGGTGTTTGTTTGAAGGGATTTGATTGGTTACAGGATTTCATCAGGAGCTGACATTAGTTAGAGAACCACTGGAAAACCTGGGAGTACTGGACAACTGTTTTGTCAGCTTAGTTTGGCACTCTTCATCAGTACGCACCTACCAGTGGGGTTCGAACCCAGGACCTTCTGGTTACAAGGCAAGCTAGCTCGTAGACCATTGGGACCCAATCCAATGGCCCATATATTCTAACTTCTGACAATTCGCGTCATAGCGCGCTCCCTAGCCAATGTCTTTGGCGAGTATTTGTCCTCCAGCCTACCTGCTGCACCCTACTGGTTACGAAGACATTGGCTAGGGGTCGCGCTATGTCGTGAATTGTCAGAAGTTAGAATACATGAGCCATTGGATCGGGTCCCAGTGGCTTAATGGTCTACAAGCTAGCTCGTCTTGTAAACAGAAGGTCCTGGCTTCGAACCCCGCCAAGTGGGTGAGTACTCATGAAGAGTCCCAAACTAGGCTGACGAAACACTTGTCCAGTACTCCAAGGTTTTCCAATGGTTCTCTAACTAATGTCAGCTCCTGATGAAATCCTGTAACAGCAATACTATCTGCATTATTTTTCAAAGACTTTCTGGATGACCTCCTTCCTGTACAAAGTTTATCATGAAGTATCATAGGATTTGTTAATGTATTTGTCAATCTTACAATATTCTATTTCTAATAACAGATATCAGTAGTAACTGAGTTTACACCAATCTTATTTTCACAATCTTTTTCGAACTTTACTCAGCTGATGTCGGAATGTACTGCAATCAGATGGATATGGTGTGTCGATCATCGAAAGCTTTCTGTTCTGATGAGAAACAGATGAATAACATCTACTTTACACCACAGTGTCTATGTCAGGCGGGATATTTACCAGTGTATCAGAATTATTTAGATTATTATGAATGTGGTAAGTTTATACTCAATTGTTTGGGGATGAATTTCATTCTTTCTGTTTGACACTTCAATAGAAAAAGAGTGCCTTATATTGTTTGCATGGTAACCAGCGACAGAAAACAATGAGTTAAGGTTCATCCTGTTCGGTACCTGTCAGCTGTGTGTACGTGAATCGTAATGTGTGACTTTTGTGAGAAACGAAAACGCCAGAAATTCCTTTAAATGTTGCAGTGCTAACCTTAATGAAAACAAAATAAGCAGAACAGAAAAGAGGCTCTTTCGAACGATTTCTTTTTCCCCTTTACCTGCACGACCACATTCACAAACAATTCCTCAAGAAAAAGGGTAGCAGCGAAAGGGATGAGCCGACAAAACATAGTTCCTAATATCAGTCAATGAATAAATGGAGTTGAATAAATAAGTTATTATAGTTACGTAATAACGGTGGGCAATTTAATGAATGCGCTTCAATCAGGTTGCACATAGAAAAGAGGAAAATAGGGAATAATGTAAGACTTCTGAGGACATACAAGAGTTATAAGAGGTTAGAAAAACAAACGAACAAAGATCAGGTTAACGGAAATCAATAGGTCTGTTATTACAGTAACAGAAGAGGCTGAATGATTTTCCTTTGTAAGCATAGCTTCACTTTTTCTAACTGGATGGCTAAAACTTCGTCAATGCGTAGAGGAGACGAACGTCATTTGACTCTGTTAAGTTACTCTTCACTTTATAGATTACTTCGAAGAAGGAGTTTGTTTAAATGGAATAACCAGTCTTGATAGGATGTTCAAGTACCACAGTCTTTATACAGCCAAAACTACCTTACTGATATCATGTGGGATAGTTTTCTTGGACTTATTCAGACAGGATACGCGTCGCAGGACCGATATTCTTGGCTCCACAGTAATAGGTGAAAAGATATATGCACACATAAGTGGTGAGATGCGAGATCTTGTCCTTAATTAAGGCTTCTTCAGATTAATGTACAACTGCAGAACACTATTCTTGTCATTGCTGAGACGAATTCCCTTCGCCAAAATACTGAAATGCTTCTCTTGAGGATATTACAGATTAAGTCTTTCTTGAAGCCAGGTTCATGTAACTTCTTTTTTTTTGAACTGACGAGGATAGCAAAGCCAGAATCGGAAAAGCAAGATAAGCTTTCATTACTCTTAAATCTGTGTGGAGGTCAACATCACTCAGCATCAAAAATAAGATCCGGATTTTTAACTCAAATGTGAAGTCAGTGCTACTATACGGTTCAGAGACTTGGCGCGTCATAAAGAGCATCTCAAACAAACTTCAGACCTTCATTAACAGTTGTCTTCGCTCAATACTCAAGATCAGATGGCCGGCCAGAAAAGATCAGGAACAGGGTTGGATCTCTGGGAGCGAACCAGCCAGGAACCGATTGTGAAAAAAACAAGCAGGGAGAAATGGAGATGGATTGGGCATACGCTGAGGAAACCATCAAATGACATCACTAGGCAAGCCCTCGAGTGGAACCCAAAAGGGAAGCGGCGAGTTGGTCGTTAGTGCAAGGGTGACTTGGAGGAGGTCATGTGAAGAGGAGATGAAAGTATATGGGCAGAAGTGGAGCCAAGTGAAAACGTTGGCAGAAAACAGAAGTCAATGAAGACGCGCAGCTGAAGCCCTTTGTTCCTCTAGGAATTAAAGGATGTAATAATAATAATAATAACGTTACTTTTCTATGAACTTTCTATGAGACATTCTTGTGAATGAATCTTGATGAATATCCATTTTGGATAAAGATTTCTTCCAGGAGATCTGGTTCTATACGCTTAATGGTATACTCAATGCAGTTCCTAATATCGAAGACATGAAAACAGATGATACTTGTTCATATGATTCGATAGCCAATATGATTGATTTTAAATTTAGGACATTATATACTGTATTCTAATCTCAGGTACTGGTAGAGATATATCTAGTTGCGAAATTAGGGAGATGAGTTAGATCACCGGTAAGATGTCTATTTTTTCGCAGTTGTACATATTTCTTTTTGACTAGTGCCCAACATGTACGGAACCTAGATTCGAATCTTCATAAAGAATGTCTCCAATTATATAATAACGCCCACAAACTAAACAACTACATTCATCCAAATGCTCAATTTGAATTGGAGAAAATACTCACGTGAATAGTTGTCAGTTGCCAACTGTTTCACCGTTACCTCTTCAGGAACTACCGTCTCTTACTGAATTTATTACACTGACGATGTATGAACTGGCAGTACTGACAGATGTTACCAGACCAGTTGCATAGGAAGAATGATATGTTAAATATGAAATTAAATAATCCAAGTTGCATTCAAACACTGAGACAGGTTGCCATGTCTGTCACTAGATTAGACAAAGCAATGCAGATTCACCTTTTTAGACAACTTTCCAGTAGGATTCTGACTTATTAATCCTTCAAAAATGCAGGAGGTATAATATCAATAAGAATGTTTTAGCTTATGAATCACAGATCAACAAATTTCCTTGTTCCTTCTACTCAGCATATCCGAAATTACACCGGTGGCACAGCGGTAGAATCCTTGACTACCAAGCCGCATATGGTTCCGGGATCGATCCCCGGCCGACTCAATCCTTCACATCGCTAAACTAGTAATTAGACTGATGAAGTCGTAAGGTTGGGGATGAGGCTGGAAAAATGAAACATTTACGTAAAAATGAGTGAACACCACTGCTACAGAAACTTGAAGCCTCTAGATCGAAGCTCTATTTTCACTGGGAATGTAAAAGAATATATATATATAGTGACTCAGTTAAAAGTATGCGAAAGACTGTATTTACAAAGATTTGCGGGCAAACATAAAGAAACAATAGCGATCGTGAAGTGTGAGTTCACCAATGATCTTGAACGCATACCATTCGCTCGATTACAGAACCTGCCTTCATTTATTTATGAGAAAATATGACATAATAATGGTGAAATAGATTGAAAAGGATATTTTACTCTGACGTAACTCAAAAGATTCATCCCAATTCCAGTGAAGGTTATCAATTATCAAGTTTCACAGCCAGCAAAATGACTTCATCTATATGAACAACGAAACCCTCTGCCCTCCCATATATCTAATTGTAAATAAAAAGTACAGACAAAAATAAAACACCCCTATGTTTATTTTAACCCTAGCCTTAATACTAATCCTAACCCAAAACGTGCTATCAACTCATTGTCCAAAAAGTACTTCATAATGAGATCAGCATGAAATTTGTACATTGATTTGTGTACAGTTTTCATTCTGGAGCTGTAATAACGGAAGGTCCCTCAATCCAAAGAATGATATGCTTTCATAGTCGTTGGTGCGTTCTCACTTCGTAGTCAGTATTCTTTAGCTTGGTCTGATTCAATTTAACACATTCAAGAAATTTATCAAGTTACTTTACCGTAGAGTTATAAGGCAGGCTTGTTAAACCGGTAGGAAATCAAATCTGTGTAGATGTAGACTTTTGGATATTCCTGACTTCGTCAGCTGCTTGGAAAGGTGACCGATAAGTTTATGGTTTCATTAGACGTTTGATTTCTATTCATAAATATGATGATAGCAGAAATCGCCTGTTATTTATACCTTATGTCCGTTTGTTTTCGACATAGAACTTTGCACCGATGTGCAGCAGTTCAAGTCGCCACATTCTCTCCTTGAAGCACACAAATCAAGAGAAGAAAGTAGAAGAAATGCGTAATAGAGACGGTATACAGAAGTATGAGACAAGGGAATAGTAACAACGAAAAACAATATAGTTTCATTGGAAATCATAAGTTACAAGGAGTGTATGCATTTGCGCTAGCCATTGAGGACGATTTTGAGCCATATCACTAATCGTCGCCAGCCATTGATTTTTACCGTCCCGATGGCCCCAACCAGGAAGTCTACGCCTTAGTACATAGCTTAAACTAACTAAACATCGACTGATAGCTGCTAACTTGACGTGATGGTCGGGCTCGCACATCGCGATGACCAAACAAGCTACACTGGCTGGAACCAATGTTCCTGCAGGTTCTACCATGCCAGGAAGGCTGTTAGGATAGAGATTAGACTAAAAGCAGTTCCCGGCTTAGTGTAAGAAATTTTTTCTACACTATTTCGGGGGGTCTCTGGGCGAATTCGTAGTGCTGGAGAACAGGAATGTAACAGCAATGAGGTGTTTCCCTCAGATAACCAGCACCTCATCCGGCTATGCTGTATCTCCACTTTGGAGGGAAGGGGTCAGAAACGGTCGACCCAAAAATTGTGCACGCCGACTTACCCTACGGTGGTCCGTAACCTGTGGTAAGTTTACCAGTACGGGAGCATTCAAAGAAATCAGTTCATACAGGCCACGTATTACCGGCCTCAAGTAGTTGTCCCCTGGCTCTGCCGTCACGTAACACTAACCCTCTCTCTGTTTCAGGTACCCGAAGAAGAATTTATACCTTATACAAAACACAGATTACAAATATAAACATGTGTATGATTGTGAAATATTAGCAGTATTTACTGATTTCTACCTTTTTTGCCCAATATTCACAGTTCCAGTCTGTAATCAATGTTACCCGGTGGATAGATTTTCTCCTCGAATGAATTGTACATGTCCCGAGATTATCTGGTCAGACGACTATCATCGAATCCATAAAACTAATGTCGCAAATGAAGACAGTTTTCTGAGTAAGCGGCTTTTTGATCTAACTAATTCCTTTTATTCTGTAAAATCTAATTCCAAATTACTAACTATGGTCAATTAATTCATCGGGTATTTTTAAAATGTACTTTTGTGCTCCTCAATAACGTTCAACGTACAATATATACCTTGTTGTTTAAATCGGTCTTGTATTGAACATTGAACATAAAGTATTGAGTCACACTTGTGTTTAAAACACTTTAATTTGATTCGTAACTGGTTATATTTCTGTCATAATATGATATTTTTAGTTGGTAGAAGTTGTGTCTTTAAAAATGTAATGCGCTCACAGTGAGTAATTAATCGTTTGATAGTCAATTCAGCTTATGAAAGATGCAACGCATAGACCTACTATACTCCTAACATGATGGAAACTAACTGACAAAATCAACTTAGTGTATTCTCGATAAATATTTAATATTGTATTTATTTTCACGCTAGTTGACCTTTGCCAAGTGTTGTTCTGAAGGGATTTGGCTGGTCATAGGTTTAATCATGAATTGATATCACTTTGAGAAGTATTGGAAAACTGGCAGGCAGTGCTGGATAGCTGTTTCATGCTAGCTTGAGACTCACCAACACCACGCACCCATCACCAGTTTTCGAGCTCACAACCTTCTGGTTATAAGGTGAGCGTGTAGACCATTCAGCCACTGAGATATGATGCAGGGGCCAATGCATGAATTCCAACATCCACGAATTCCCTCTCTGTCTAGTCAGATAAGAGATCAGTTATTTGCCTATGAAAATGACTAGCGGTAGCTCTATATTTTTTACGGTGAACTGGCAGAAGTTAGAATTTATGGATCATTGGATAGGGTCCCAGGGGCTTGCCTTGTAACTGGGACGTCCTAAGTTAGATGAGTTTGCTTGACATCATTTAAATATCCCCATCATTATATTTATAGAACACGATAAAGGTAAATATGTGATTTTTAGTAAATTAGTATCAGGACTTACAACTTTATAATAAAATACCAGTCAAAGACATTCAGGCAGTTAACCTGGGGTTCTAGTGGGAAGCCGTGACCAGTAGGGTACAGCAGGTTGAAGATAAGGCAGTAACTCATCGAAAAAGACATTGCGAAGTGGTCGCGCTATGTCGTGAACTGGCAGAAGTTAGAATTCAAGGACCATTGGATCGGTTCTCAGTGGCTCAATGGTCTACGAGCTCGCCTTGTAACCAGAAGGTCCTGGGTTCGAATCCCGGTGGGTGCGTACTGCTGAGGAGTCCCAAACTAGGACGAAACGGCTGTTCAGTACTCCCAGGTTTTCCAGTGGTTCTCTAACTGATGTCAGCTCATGATTAAATCCTCCATGCAATCAAACAAAATCCCTACAAAAACCAATACTTGAAAAGACATTTTTAACCAATGTGGCAAATAGAATTGAATTTCAGGAATATGAATTAGTGGATAATAATCGTGGTGATCATGACAACAACGACCGGAGCTTTGTATACAAAAGAAACAGGTTCAGCCAGCCACTTTTGCTACCTTGGCATGCTATCATAAATTCTATCTTACCTCCCTTAATTTATCTGGTATTCAGTCAGCTTAGTGTAATATAAAGTGCATACTATGTCTCTACTTAGGGAGAACACATAACGACATGAGCAGGAAGGCATACGTCACTATCCTCCACAGTATATTTTGCATAAATAATATGTGATTCCAAAAACCACTAAGGATGTATCAGTTATTTCCAAATTCCCATTTTTGCATTTACAAAAAAGCACAACAGATTAAGTGAAGAAATATATTCCTTTTCAATTAGTTAATCGTCATCGGCTGGTTCTACACTACTCTATCGTTTTCACATTAAAATCTTTGTTTACCAATCAAGTGGTTATTTTAGTAAAACAATTTTATGTATAGTTGGGGGTGAAATTAAGAGGTTAAAAGTCATCAAAACAACTAATGTTTTTTAACATAACATAACATAAGCTTTATTCCAAATCAGTACTTGTGATACAGAATGGAATTCTCAGCATTTTACTACAATATTGCATCCAGTTTTTACATTAACAATAAATAAAGTTCTACATAGATTAAAGTTATCTCAACAACATATTAGTATGTCGGTAGCAAAGCCAAAATTAAAGTGTTTGAAGGTGTTAGAAGAGTAGATACTACTAGCATATTTACTGGCGTAAGCGATAGCAAAATGGTCGAGATATACAGAGTGTGAAAGAACGAACAAGAATGTTTTAAGTAGAGTTTGCATGGAAGAGAGAAACAAAACAGCACATAACAAAAATAAATACGGAATAAGAAGAGCGAGAAAACGTTGTACCTATAAATGATGTGAGTTGGAAAGATGAGATCCATTGGTTCTACTGACTATTTAATAAGTTAAAGGTTTCATGCCTGATGCATTCTTTATCGCACAGAACACGGGCTAGGTAGGGTATGGATGAGTTTTTGTACTTACTAGTGCGGGCATATAGTTTCCTATATAGGCTTCTTGTTTTCCCTGAAGAGATACATGGGAAGAGTTGTGAATGTAGAGGGTGTTGTGAGTCAGATAAAATGGATTTCGCCCATTTTTCACATTAGTCCATGTGCCTGTCCACCACAATGTTAACAAGTTGGTTAAGTGGCAAACTGCTTACCCTGCTGACAACCTTTAACATCCTACGTAATAAGGTATAGTCTTTCTTCAATAGCCCAGGAAAGACTAAGGGGGAGCAATATTTTTAATATTTTAATATTTTTTTTTAATTTTTGATTACAGCTTGATTCCACACTGTATTTTTGGTACAAGTATGGAATTTTCAGCATATGATATCGATAGCCCAAATTTTGCAGGCTGACCATTGATATCAGATGTGTGTTGGCAGGGGGATAGAACCCCAGACCATGTGTATGGTCGGCGAGAATTCTAACCAATGTGCCACCGACGCTTTAAATAATCGATGTTAGTAATAAGATATCTAAGTTTTGAAGGAGGAAGGCGTGAAATTTAATTACAGAATTCAAGATAAGTTGATTCTCAGGCGTTGGCAACAAGTTATTACACAATCAAGGAATTTGTAAAATAGCACTTCTGACTAAAAAGAATAGAATGACTCAGAAGAATTATGTACAATACAAACAAGTTTATTTGCATTAGCTAGAATTTTAAAAATTAACAAAGTCAAGAGACATTTACAAGAGGAGGGGAAAAATCGTTTTTAGAAACTTAAGCAGTTGGCCATGGCAAAGATAGAGGCTGTACAGATTTTGTTTGAACACATGGATTTGGCTTGTTCAAATGAATTCCTATTGTCTCTGCTGTATTTAAAAGTCGTACTCATAGGCTACACAAAATGTTTGGTGATATACGATGAATAACTTTATAAGCTTAGTTAGAGTCGACTTAATGTTCATTTTAGACGAGATGAGCTGGTATTGATCTGCGTATAGCAGCTTTATTCGGACCTTTGCCAGACCAAGATGCGAAATGTTCACAAATTCAACGACGTACTAACCTGATCGTAAACCCTATGTAACTAGCTCTGCAAGGGCAGTTAAAGTGATAAATACACATGGTAGGGGCGAAATAGGACAGTCGATCTTTATTTCTTGAACTGAGTATTGGTTGGCTAGTCAATATACAGCATAGCTTAGCTGCGTTGGAAGTCCTTTAGAAGCCGTCTCACAGTCGTTATAATAAGATCTCACTATTGACATCACCAGTGACTTGTAACCTTAGGAATAGTCGACACTTTCCACTTTTTACTTTCTGAGTTGATGTGTTTGTTCACGAATTTAGACGGTTATCCGTTTCTACTTAGTAGATTGCTAATATTACTGAGTTCTTCGTTCAGTATCTCATTTAACAGATAGCCCAATGAATCAGGCATATATCTAGATTACGTTTGTATTCTAGAGGTATGAACCTCAGGAAGGGAGTATATTGTCCAGTGGAAGCACGTTTTCTAAGCAAGCGTCTGCATATTGTTCCATCTGTTCGTTTAGTCATTAGGATGTCCAAAAAGGGAGATATGGGAGAAATTTGCTTCTCCTTCTTCAATGAAGCTTATACCAGGATCCGCTCTATTGAATTAATGTGTTTGTTAATATTAATAATAATAATTTTGCTTCTATTCCACAAACAGTACTAGTGGTACAGAGTGGAATTTTCAGCACATATCTACAATATTGCATCTAATTTCATCGCACATTTAAAAGGAGTATTACAAAAAAATATATAAAAAACAAAAACAAAAACCAAAAAGAAACAAAAAATAACAAAAGAATACAAATAAAAATACCAAGTAGAAAGGATGATAAACACCAAAAATGAAAAATATTTCAGTATTTGGTGGTGGAAGCTATGATATGTGTATGTGTGGTGAACAGTAACAGCTATAATCATACAATAAGTTTATGAAATGTAATTAAGAATTTAAAACAATTAGTTCCCTTTATGAATTTAGATAAAGCAATAAGAAGACGTAATTTGTCTGAATCGTGTAATGTAAGTTAAACTTAACTTGACCTAAGTCTATTTTTCTCACCTCTTACCTCTTTATTAATTTTTTATATATATATTCCTATGACAAGTCCGTGTGTGATCAGATTGTTCGAAATGTGTTGCGCAAATACATTACACGATTCAGACAAATTACGTCTTCTTATTGCTTTATGTAATTAAGAATGTTTATAGCCAAGATGATCAGTTAATTTGGTTGAACTACACTAAACAATCGTGAAATAAACATTTCAGGTTGTGCTTTTTTTATTGTCAGCACTAATGCGGTGTTTGTTGTGGTAGTGTGAGTAATCATGCATAATACAAAAGTTTAAGATGGTGATAGTGGCGTTCACAAACAAGATTGTCAGTTAAATAGTGCCGAACAAAGAACAACCACAAAAATTAATATTACATGATGGTTAATGACAGGACTATTTGGTAACACTCATAGTGCTAATATAGCCGGGACCAGTAGATACACAAAAGAAGGAATAGAATAAAGAATAAAAAAGTAAGCCAATGATAATAATTTTAGATAGCTAAGTATGCTTAAGAAGGTTGTTCACTATAGAGTACAAATAAGAGAGTGTAAGGGGGAAATAACAAGAGCCAAAATTATGTTATTAACAACAAAGCAAGTCATAGGTTTCCCGTTTAACATTGTCTCTGTCACTTAAAACACGGGCCAAATATGGTATCGTTGAGTTCCTATACTTGGTTGTACGAGCATATATTATTTTGTACTGATTTCTGGTTCCACCCGATGAGATGCAAGGAGAGAGTTGGGAATAGAGGGGTGTTAAGGGTCGGAGAGTATGGTTTTAGACCATTTTTCGCATGTATTCAGATGCCTTTCTACCCCCAACATTCCCTCTATTCCCACCTCTCTCCTTGTATCTCATCAGGTAGAACCAGAAATCAGTACAAAATAATATATGCTCGTACAACCAAGTATGGGAACTCAACGATTCCAAATTTGGCCCGTGTTCTAAGTGACAGAGACAATGTTAAGCGTGAAACCTATGAATTGCTTTGTTGTTAATAACATAATTTTGGCCCTTGTTATTTCCCCCTTATACTCTCTTATTTGTACTCTATAGTGAACAACCTTCTTAAACATATTTAGCTATCTAAAATTATTATCATTGACTTACTATTTTTTGTACTTTACTCTGTTCCTTCTTTTGTGTATCTACTGGTCCCGGCTATATTAGCACTATGAGTGTTACCAAATAGTCCTGTCATTAACCATCATGTAATATTAGTATTGTGATTGTTTGTTTGTACCAGCTCATAACTTTTTTTCCTACCTTCTTTCATGAAAATTAGACCGTACATAAATGTGATTGTACAGCTAAAAGAGAGAATGTGTTCGCCAAAAACAGCGTGTTTTCTAAGCTACAAGTTTTGTTGTCACTAATTTCTGGATAAGGAATATTTAATAAATTCTTTAATTACTAATGTTATATAAATGTAGAACCGAATGAGAAATTTATCGAAAAGAATTCTCTTTGTTCATTAAACAATCTTTTAACTTTTTAATGAGCATCTCGAGTACCGACCCTGTAGCTGAGGTTTCTCAGAGGTAATAAATACCGAGAGGACTACTCAATTTTTTATTGTAACTAAGGCGTAGAGAATTCAGCCTAACAGACAGTATCAGCCAAATGGTTGCTTCCTTCGCTGAAATTACAAACATCGATTCAAGCTGTGAAACTTTAACCTATGCTACGGATTCGTAGGAACGAGGTAAGTTTTCCAGACAATGATTATCTTCCTTTAACTCATCTGGAATGTTTACAACAGTATTTCAGCAGTTAAAAACTCCCGAGAGTCTACATGTAGGAAGATGACGTCTTTCAGGTGTACTTGGAAGAGGATTATAAGTAGTTTTATATTATCATAGAGTACAAAACGAATAAACCCGAATTCTATAATGTTTAAGATATTCACAGGGACTCAAAATAATTTTCGTATACAGAACTGTACTATCAGAAATAAACAACGATAGAGTAGGAATTTTTCGGCACTACTGAAATAAATCACAAAAATTTTGCAAAGGTAAACTACGGTTCATCTCAGAGAAACAACATCTTGCTTCTCGTGAACTGCAGTACGACTTAACCATAGACTATCTTATAATTGTGGATGCGGTTTATACTATTAATATCATCTGTCGGAATATTCTAGTTATGTGAGACCTTCGTTATTCCTATACGTTCCCAGTGGAACATAGGGCTTCAAGCTAGAGCTTAGAAGTCTCAGTAGTAGTGATGGTTTTATTATCTGTACGGTGTGGAGGTGCTGCCCTTACGCACAGTCTTCCTCCTTTATCGGTCTTACTATTGGGCTTGAGAAGGTTTAGGAGTTAGTTGGCCGAGAGTTAAACCTGGTAAGTGTCCTACCGGTGAACCACTAACGATGAGAAGTAACTACTGAATAATCTTAAATATTTGACATGATTTGGATGTACAATTTTCAATTTATTTGAGAATTTTGCATACTAATTATTATTTTTTTTATTTTAATATTGTCTATGTGACTATCTACTTTCTGCGTATTTGTCTAGATATATCTTACACCCAAGAAAACTTGACAGTATGCTTCAATCTATTATTCAGGCCCCAAATGAGGCCTGATTTCTTCCATAACCATACAAAGAACATGGTGGCTTTTCTGTCAAATCATTTCATGTCATCACTTCCACACGACAACTGTGTACTGTATGAATTCGAACGAGACGTTTGGTGTAAAACATTTAATTTGTTGTCAGTTGACATTTTATCACCTTGTGCCTTCATTCAGTATAACAAAACTTCAGTAAGTACAAACTGTAGAAATAATTAAATATGTTATGTTGTGTCTAATGTTTGAATAAAAGACAATCATTTTGGTTACATTCGATTCAAAGTGCTGTGAGACTTTCTCATATAACAAATGCTTTTAACATTGAATACATTATACCAGCCTTCATATTGTATTTTCATTTGAGAAATAACCCCCTAACAAGTTTATGTCACCGCCAGATAGATAGCTTGTAAAACTGACACCATATCCACTGGATCACGACCATACTACTCCATAAAAGAGCAACAGAAGCCATGTTGTGAACGAGTACAGAGGGCCAATCTACTATTCAGTAAGTTAAAGTCTAGTTCATTATCAAAATTAACCGGAAAATCGTTCCACCAACAAAGAGCCAAGCTTTCAATCTGTCAGTCCTCACAGTGTCTTCACTAGGTGAAATTCCCAATGTTCAGTCTGATTCAATCACATTCTCAATTCCTGATAGTGTCTTCCGTCAGTTTACCTAGGTTTCAGCTTTACGGAGTTCAAGGAGCTACAGATTTCTTGGGAACCACCTGCAACGTTAATTACAGAACCTCCGTGGATCGTCAGTAAGCATAGTTTATGGTCAGAATTACGACGGCATCTGGTCGTCACCAAGACTCTAACTTTCGCCCCTGACCAACGAAAGCATTCTTGGCGATAATCCTAGAATTTCATCCCCTCTAAACATTACTTCGGATCCAAAAACCGACAAAATACAACTGATGTCCTACTTCATTATTCTATGCAATAATTTATAGGCACAAAGGCCTGTCTTGAGCACTCGAATTTGTTCAAAGTTAGCATGCCGTTTACTCCTGACTCTTGGCTAAGGGCATCTAGAAGCATGCAAAAAGATAGCCGGCATGACAAGCTCACCCATGTCCGTCAACGCGTCTTTACAGATACAGCTGAGAGATGGAACAGCCACTAGACGGAGTTGAACGTATGTTCTGAATGTAACCAAAAAAGCAAACAACCAATAGCACGCTACCGTGCAACCCACGTTTATCTACTAGCTTATTAGATGTAGCTGGAGTTATCATGGCTGCTAGCATCACACTTGTCTTCCAACTGGCCTCACCTGAGGTCTTTGTTCGTACAACCTCCCTAAGCTTTAACGCCTGCTGCCGACCATGGATGTGGTAACCATTTCTAGGGTTCCTTCTCCAAGGGCTAACAACTCTACCCTGTAGAAAAAAAAACAACACCGTTACTGAAACTTCAGAGTTCAAGCTTGAAGCCCTATGTCACCACTTGGAACGCGAAGGAATAAAAATAATAGAAAGTTTCTCTGAAGATGTAATCCAGATGATGAACATAAAATCTTTTGTTCAATTCACAATAACCTTGGGTTTTGTGATAATGCCATTATCGATGTTGAGGGACTAAAACACCACGTAAAAGGAAAGTTAAAAGTGATTAACTCAATTTTCAAAATACGAAGCATTAGCTTTAATCGTTTTGGCGGGCTTCAGCTTCTTTAAGTTCTTGGTAAACACAGTTTAAACATATTGTATAAACTAGGATGAAACAGCAGCTGTCCAGTACTCCCTGTTTTCTGGTTCTCTAACTGATATCAATCCGTGATCAACTCGTAAAATATAATTTTATAATTTTCATACATTTCTAAATTACTGGAAATAGCCAAAGATGTATAGTACTTAATGCGAGTTGTGTCTTTTGCTGAACCTAGGCATCAGTTAATTAGTATTCTCCCCGAACAAACAGAGCACATAAATCTAAAATATAAGTACATTTGATTATGATAAATCGTAGCTGAACTACAACATGAGAAAGGCAAGACAGACTATCATACTCAGTGCAAGAACGAAATTCGGGTTTGCGAGACAAATGTAAATCCAGTTCTCCTTGGTGAATCAGAAAGCCATCATGTACGTCACGGAAATCATCTTCAACAGGCCACTGAAAAATTCTATCTACAGCTCCCCCCCACACACACACTCTGGCTCTATATTGAAGATCAGATGACTGGCCAGAAAGAATCGACAAAAACAAACTCTGAGAAGGAACTAACCAAGAACATGTCGATCAAAACAAATTCCGCAGGAAATGGAAGTAGATCAGTTACAAGGTGCGGAAACCGTCAAATGACATCACACACCAGTCTATAGCTCAAAAATAACCCGAGTTGTGTATTGGCCCGGAAGTGACATGCAGTTGATTGAATGTGGATGAAATAAAAGCTGATGGTTCATCTTAGGGCCAGCGGAAGGGGACTTCAGAAAAGAGAATCAGATAGAAACGTGGGTTTGAAGCCCTATGTTTCACTCAGAACCTTAGGGAACAATACCAATAAATAATAACATCACTATCGCTAAAATACCCTAAGTAACCATTTCTGCTCCAACTCATTTTGATCCTTCTAATCGTAAATGGGTTGATGGAATAAATAAAGGGGAGAATTATTACTTCATTTAAATGATCTACAAACCTAAAACTCAAAGAAAGTTATTGTCGAACATGTGAAACAAAACACAAGTAGTTCTGTATGGTGAAAATTGTGGTAATTTCACTCTACAGAGCTCTCACATTCACATTTACAGCCAGTTTTCTCTTCAAGTTGGCCAGTAAATTTTCGAAAAATTATTCTGAATCTGTTGAAGTATGTCTTCTTTCAAGGGTTCGACAACATCAGTATTTTTTTTTATTTACAGCTTGATTCTACACTGTATTTTCGGTACAAGTATGGAATTTTCAGCATGGATATCGGTAGCCCAAATTTTGCAGGCCGACCATAGATATTAGGTGTGCGTCGGTGCTGGCTCGAACCCCGGACCATGTGCATGATCGGCGAGAGTCCTAACCACTGTGCCACCGACGCACACCGAATCACTTTTTGTCACTAGGAGTTTTACAAAAACAAATGGTTGAACTTTCTGATATCACATCTCGTGTAAAAATCTACTGAAACTGACAAAACCAACCATCTCTCAATAAAAGCTTATCAGTGATCGAATCCATCATCATAAACTCACAAGGAGAGTCTGTTACCCTCCAACAACTGTAGTGGGAACCCATACCTCACAAATTCTATCTTCTTATTTGATCCCGGATGCCATTTTAAAGGTTCTAAGAATTCTAAGCTAGTTCAAAAAAAGAACTTATCTCAGGTTTCTTAAAACTCATCAATCACTAGATTTCAACTGATTGGTTACTGGGTCCTCCATGGAACCTGAAAGTAATGGATTTAGTGCCTACCACAGTGTACGTAACTGTCCAGTGATCATTGGCTTTTGTTCTCTCTCAAAAGGATGTCTGCCGATGACTAAATTAACAGAATCCTAACAACACCCAGAAATTGGTGAAAGATGCCCATTGAAGTTTATGAAAGACTGATTGGAAGAGAAAGAATACTCTTTATGACGTTTTTGCTCAGGTTTTACAGTTATATGTTCATAATTACTAAGGAGTTGCTGTTTCGATCAGATGGCTACAAAGATCAGATTGCGAAAAAGGTCTCTGAAAACGGACCAACCTAGTGAGAACCAACTGTTCAACAAATATGAAGGAAAAAATGGAGGTGGATTGGCTGGCCATACTCTGAGGAAACCATCAAGTGACATCACACGCCAGGCCATTGTTTGAATGGAACCCGAACAGCAAGCGGCGAGTTGGTCGTCAGTACGAGGGTGACATGGAGGAGGTCATGTGAAGAGAAGATGAAATTATGTGAATAGATGTGGAGCCAGATGAAAATGTTAGCAGAGAACAGAACGCAATGGAGGCGTTCGTCTGAATCTCTGTGTTCCTGCAGGAACTAAGGGAGATAATAATATTGTTATGAACAGCACTACTGGTTTTAAATCAAATCTAATCACTCAGATTAATAGATTTAAGTTTAAAATCCACCTGCAAGTGACAATACGCATCAGTATAACACCTAGGTTATCCGCCTCTTTTTATATCTATCGGTTCAGCTAACCACTTGCAGCCAGTTACAACAGTGGCCGTTGTTCCAAGGACTTAATCCCTCGAGTGCTTAGGAGTACTCACCAATGCAGCTAAATAAAGATATATTTGAAACTATCTGCTGTTCTTTATTAGATCACCCCACCCAGACAGGCTGCAAAACTAGCATTAAAGAGTCTACCTCTATCGGCTATCGGATTTCGTATAAATAACTGAGAGCCACTGGCTACTAAATACTTCAAACAGTAGATGCCATTGCGATTTCTGTAAAACAACCAGAGCTCTGTGTGTATAAGAAACAACTCCAGTCGCTATGGCTACTCTGGCCTGCTGTTTGACCTATAAATTCTTTATTTTTTTCCCTGAATTTATTTGATATTACGTTAAGTGTTATAGAGATGCATATTTTCACTTACAGATCCCTTTTTGCTGTGATCCTGTGATCTTACTGACTCATTGTTATTTAAAGCACCAATGCTGTTAATAATAACAACAGGTCTTAAACTATTATGAATATATGTTAATGGGGAACCCAATGAATTTTCGGAAAACACTATCCTTTATTTACTAATCAGTCTCTTCCGAAAAGTCCTAGTGCTTGGTGTTAGCTTTATTCCCTTGGGTTCCAAGTGGAACATAAGGCTTCAACAATATATCTTCACCTTGTTCTATTCTCTGCTGTCCTCTTCAGCTTGGTCCACGACTGCCCATAATCTCTCATCTCCTTCTCGCTTCAGGATTTACTCCATGTCACTGTCGCACCGATGACTCACTCGTCGCTTCCCAACAGGATTACACTCGAGCGATGGCCTATATTGCACGCGATGTCATTTGAAGGCCCCCTGAATTTCCTCCTCTTAGTGCTTAAATGAAGAGGATTTCATTCACCTTGGGCTAACACTACTTCACTTGTACTGTTGGGATGGAAACCCTATGGCATAATGTTAGTCAGTTAATTTGTTCATCAACATAGATGGAACTGCCTTTTTACATTACAAATAAACGATTAGTTTGTATGTCTAAAATGATATTAAATATTTGCCTACGATAATAATTTGCTTCTCTCATTAGAAAACAGTCAATATTCACCTTATGTTTTTTCAAATTTCTCCTTTTCTTTAGCGACAATTTATTTTCAAAAGTTTTATCAACATATTTGTTCACCAGTCAGTGGATTTATCGACCAAAAAAGTACAGTATTCAACTTCATTCACGTCGAAATGGAGTGAAGAAAACGTTTTGAACAATTTTACTGAAATCAAGTTAGTTTTTTTTTCAAAAATGTATTATTATTGTTATTATCATCCCTTTGGTTCGGAGTATAACATGTAGCTTCAGCAAGAGATTTCTATTTTATTCTGTTCTCTCCTGTCATTTTTGCTAATTAACTCCACGATTATCAGAAAGAGAGAAGACGTTCAGCGAAGAGACTCTTTTCGCCGGCGAATTTATTCACATAGCTGTACAATCGCATTCATATATGACCATCTTTGTGTGTGTACATGAGTTTTGTCAGAAACAGAGTTAATCAGGCAGCAACTAAAGTAGGACTGAGTTACTAAATTAAATGATGTAATATAACTGACTAGAATGTTTCAACTTAGGTCAGGGTAGCAGATGAGGTAATTACAGGTACAGACTACGTAGAAGTGGGGTAGAGAATAATGCCATTTAAATTAGAACTGAAATTGAGCAAGTAAATTGGATGACGTAACATATGTGACTAGAAATTGAGCTGTTGCTACCCCTGACCTAAGTTGAAACATTTTAGTCAATTATATTACGTCGGCTAACTTACTAAATCAATCCTACTTTAGTCGCTGTCTGATTAACCTTGTTTCTATATTAGGTCATTCTTGTATTACCTGATCAATTACCTAAACTTGACAAACCTCATGTACACACACAGATGATCATATATGAATGCGATTGTACAGCTATGTGAATAAATTCGCCGGCGAAAAGAGTCTCTTCGCTGAACGTCTTCTCTTTTTCATATGACTCAATGGGAATTTTTAAGCTACCCAAACGTTGCAAGGCCTCCGTGATTGTCTAAAAGGTTTCATTTGCTCCGTAACACAATCCTCTCTGAGTCATTGTCTGATACTGTACTAGTTCGAAAGGAAAGGGATTAAAAATATAAAACTTCAGAAGACTGTAGACGACCGAAAGAGTCACCATGTTGAATGGAACTCCTGATATTTGACATTAGGTAAGGGGGAGATAAACATTTACCTTCGGGAAACATATAATCACAGTTAATTGATTTCACTTTGTCAACAAATCATTGGATAGGGAAAATGTAAAATTTCACTTTATTTTAAATGAATCTCCTTTCCATTCTCTACGTTTTTCGGAGTGGAAAATAAGCTTTCTGCCTTGAAGCTTTGGAGTTTATTAGTGGTATCGCTGGCTTTTACGCCATGGAGTTGCTAGTCTTATGCCCAACCTCCCTTTTTTTCCGAGCCTGCCGTTGGCTAGGTTATGTCTGGGAGTTCGACTTCCGAAAGCTTGATCCCGGTTCACGTGAGTGAATGGCAAATATTCTACCGTAGAACTACCAACGCATACAGAATTTTCCAATGGATTTAAATTCAAAAAAAGTGAAAGTTAAAATAACTCAGCTAACAATTGGTGCATTTTCTAACAAGTCGCTTAGCAACATTTTAAACTGAAAAATGAAACCGACGTCTCTAGGGTAAAAATATGGACTGTTTAATTCAATTTGGACTTTCCTAATTCGGACTGATTGTAGAGAAGCGTTCCGGCTCAAGTTAAATCTTCAAACACTGTTGAAGCATCCACACAGGGAGCCAACACGAAAGCCGTTACATAAGAGGTTCCTCTTCAGGACCAAGTGGTCTGTTGGATAACACTTTGATGTTTAAAACAATTGGTACTGCGTACCAGCCTCAATAGGAATACCATCACTCATTGGAGAGTGCAGGTACACCCATTTGACGAGTCCTGAATACGACAAAGTACACATTCTGGTTTCCACTGCTAGTCCCCATCTATCAAACATCAAGTCTACCTAAATACACGTTAATGAGTGTAGTCGTAGTATTTGTCATGTAAATTTATTTTCAAGAATAGAGTCCCAACAAACCAATTCTTGAAAACCAATCTGATGCTCACTAGTGAGTGGCTACAGGCTGAAGTTTCTTAGAGTTCTGGTGAGAAGTCGTGACCACTGGAGTCCATCCAGTCAGGAGTGAGGAGAGAGCTCCCGCTGATAACATTGGTTAGTGGTAGCGCTAAATCACAAATTGGCGGAAGTTAGAATTCGGGGGCTGGCCACTGAATCGGGTCTCAGTGACTGAATGGTTTACGAGCTTGCTTGCTATTCTTAAGGTCCTGGGTTCGAACCCAAGTGAGTGCGTTCTGCCGATGATTCTCGAACTAGGATGAGACAAGTGTCTGGCAGTACTTTCTGGTTTTCAATGGTTCTCTTAATTATATCAATCCGTCGTCTGACCTGAAATATAAAGTTATGATTAATACCCAAAAATTGATGGCAGCAGTTTATGAAATCATAATATAATAGAGGTGGATGATTTGCAATCAGTTGTGTTGGCTGAGCTGGTTGGTTTAACTGCACAGAATATTTTAGTGACAAGCGAAATTGTCAGTCTTCTGTCTACTGACTTCGTAATAATATAAGTAGATATTTCAAAAATTGCTGAAAGATTGCATTAGAAACTTGTTCATATCTTTCACCGTAAATACTCGCATTTAAGTAATCAGTACAGAACAATATATTACGCTTTTGTCGTATTCTATTTGGGTCATATTTTTTATTCATTAGGTTTCTTCACAAACCACTTTCATTTAGATCGATGATTGAAATTCTGGGGTTATTAGATAGTTATTTAATGCTGTTTCAGAACTCTTCAACAATGCACACCAATAGCTGTAACAGGAATAAAACCTAGAACCTCTGTCCCACGAGACCAAGCTCGTCGATTGTTGAGGAATTCGATGACCCGTGAATTCTAAATTTTCTACTTGTGATACACAGCTACCCCTACCAGTTTCTTAGATTAACATCCGCTTCACTATGATATGGTGGACATTACCGGCCACGACTTCTCACTACAGCCTCAGTAAATCAATTCGGTCACTATCATTGAACTGGAGCACTGATGGGGTTATTGGCCTCACACGTAAATTTCCCTGTTTCCTGGGCCTACTGTTGACAAGAAGTGCAAGGATCAGGAGTGGAATCCCAACTAACTCCATGTGTGGTGCTCATTTTGACAATAAATCACCGATCCCTATAGTCACTGTTGCGGTTTATCCACAAAGAAGTGTGTCAGACTATTCAGTCAACATTCTCTTTTACAGAAGTTTTACTTTTATCTGATGAAAATCTGTCTAACAAAACGTTTAAGATGGCATCAACAGAAGTAGCCGATTCAGAATCAAATTCCTCCTTATCGAGACTGGACTAAGTCTATGTTTGGTAATCACCCTACCTCTGAACCACAAACGCAATAGGAATACACACTCTACTGTGGTATTCTTCGCATAACCGGTTAGCAGATTTAGAGAAATAGAAATTCATTTGAAGTAACTTTACACTTGATTTATCACCGAAAATTGGAGCTAATTTCTGTGTTTACTTAATTAGCTAATAAGTAAACAAAAATAATTCAGCAAAATATTTTCCATGAGACTTTCACATGTCGTATAGGGTTGATATGTAGGCATGAGCCATCATGTCCTCTCTCCCTTCACAGGGTTTGTAATATGATCTGTTATATTATTTTAAAAAACTCTAATTGGTAAAGTGTTTAATTAACCTTGAAAGAATGCATAATAGTTAAAGTGTATAAGGCAATTTTGAGTATTGCGCAAAATCTCGCAATACAGACATCTATATTTTGCAACAAGACGAAGGTTTCTTTCATGCAGACTAGACATCAGAAGAAACTGTTTAAACAGTTCTAATCATACAGTTGTGTATATGTCACAGTTATGTTATATGTTTGTTACTGGTTCTCTTATCAGCCACTAATTTGATAACGTTTGAAGGTAAGAGGTATGAAGCCATGCCCCATTCCTCTTTAATTCTTACTAGCAGTAATTCAAAAATTATATTGGCAACCTAGACAGGAATTGTTAGTCCCCAAAAAGTTGAACATACTGCGTTCAGAAATCAGACCACAATGCTAATAATTAGTCCTTCCATTTTGTTAATATTGGCAAATCTTCTGAACGAGAAAACTGAATTCTTAACGACTAATATACCTGACAGTACAATGAGTATCCTGTCTGAAAGGGTTCAATTAGCACCATTTCATCTCAGCATATGCCTCCTTCAAAGTAATCTACAAAGTGAAGAGCAACCTGTAGCAGACAATACCCTTCCTTTTCCTTTGCACTGCTGAAGCTTTAGTCATTCAGTTAGAGAAACCGACTGGAGCTATGCACGTTCCAAGCCAGCATTTCATTTTAGAGACACAATTAGATAGAGAATCTTTAGGGATTTGGTCTTTTATATGGACAAGGTTGTTTTGCAGTGTGTCTGATGTTATGAAGAAAACTCTAATGTCAAGCTGATTGAGTGCTCTTCTGTTATCGTCTGATGTCTCTGCTCTGTATGGAATGACAACTGTTGAGGTCCATGTTTTTGGATTGCGTTTTCGACCATACTTAATGTCTGTGTTGATTTTGTTGATGAAGTTCGTTGGGTAGTTGTTTTGCTTGAAGAGAGTTTCAGTAATGTTTGATATTTCTTCTTCTTTTTCTTTCTCATCCATCAACACCAGAGAGTGTGCTCGTCTAAGAAGACTTGAAACAACTGAAATCTTTGCGCTGATGGGGTGTGATGATTTGAAGTCTAAATATTTATTGGAGTGGGTTTTCTTCCTGAATATGGATATACTTTCCTTTCTCTTAACTAGGCAGTCTAGAAATGGTAGTTCACCGATGTCTGATTCTGCTTCTGAAGTGAACTGGATTTTGGGAGATACACAGTTTATTTTCTCCAGGAATGAATTGTGTAGATCTCGTTTTAGTACTACAAAAGTACCGTCCATATATCTTAACCATATTTTAGGAGTGAGTATGCTTGAAAAGATGTTATTTTCGAATTTATTCATGTAAAGATAGGCGACTATTGGGTGACTGGTGAACCCATAGCAACACCATTTGTCTGTCTATATAAACTCCCTTTAAACGTAAAATAATTACTTTCCAGACAGAATTTTAGGCTCTTAATTATTTCACTGGTGTCCAGTGGACATCTTTGTGATAG